GGCATTTAAGACTTGCCTATTTTTGTACTTGCTTGCTGGCTGCATCATGCTTCCCATGCTATGACAGTGCCTGCACCTTAGCTCGGGGAGACAAGTCTGTCTCAGGAAGATAGAATGTGATTGCAGATAACATCAATGATTGGATAGGTCTCTTTTCACCGAGGCGCAAGAACAGGTTGTTGGGAACCGGGAAAATAGGAAGCATCACTGGAGGCGGCACAGCGTGAGGGGTAGTGAAAAGTGAGAGGGAAATGAGAATTAAAGAAGGAATGGGAGCAGTTGAAACAGCGAGGGCATCATGGTCTTTATATTCGTAGGGGCGGCGTTGCAGCGCCTTTCCCGAATAGGCACGCTATGCCGAAAGAGGGAATTAGGCGTGGTCAGAGAGTACGGAGTATTGGGGCAAAAGTGGCCAGCCACACTCTGGCGCTCAGCCCATCCCCAATCGGGAGACATGTGCGAGAGCACTCAAGGCAATCCAGTTCTGCAGCGTTGAAAAGGGAAGAATGAGTTGTATCCCTGTTGCAACCAACCAGCTGCTGCCTCTCCACCGTTGATGGCGGTTTGTTCCAGGTAGACCATGATGAAAATTTAGTTCTTTCACACGCATCCCCTGCTTGGAATACAGAGTATGTTATCTTCATAAACGCCCGCGCTATTTTTAGCGTGAAACATCTGGCTCTTACTGACCTCTCCTGCTGCAGCGCATCGTGGGCATCATCTTGGAAAAACGTCATTGCAGCATCTGACATCCATACCATCCCATCAGTGTTCGCCGGGACCCCTTTATGTTGTATTTTTGCCTCCTCTTCTTGCTCACTAGTACTACCTCTACCGCCACCCCACGTTCCTTCTTACACACAACTCCTCCCCTTCGGCGGCATTTCTTCGGCGATTTATTCATAGGTGTATGGACACGAGCTGTCTGCCTGCCCGCGCCGTAGCTAGGTAGGGAGGAAGGAAGGGAGGAAGGGAGTGGGAGAAAGGAACTGGGGACTGACTGATTCTTGATGGGAAACGTCAAGAGGAAAACCTGTCATGGCAACCATGCAAAATAACAGGGGTTTTCTGCACAGAGACAATGGCAGGATTATCTTGCACTTTGTTAGTGGACCCTTGAAATTTTCTTCTAATTTCTACTCGTTCCTTTTCCCCCTTTACGGGCAGTTCCGGTTAGGATGCCCCTTTCCCTCCTCCCCAACAGTTCGCCACGGCTCTGTTAGCCTTTTCAAGAAGTCGAATATAAATCAGTCGGAAATTTGTACTATCCCATGCCTAATCCAGCGCGCATTGGCGGACCACGCCGCCTGCTCCCTTTTTTTCCTTTTTTTTCCCCCGACATTCGGCTGTGTATCAATTGACAGTCGACCCACAGAGGACACCCAAACAATTTTTTTTTTTAAAAAAAAAAAAAAAAATACATAAATAAATAAAAAATAAACATTTTCCTACCAACAAAACAACCATATTAATAACAATAAACGATAGGACTATGACTCCTTCTACGCCTCCGTATTCGAAGTGGAAAACCCCGCTCTGAAAGCAGTCCCGCTGGCCGTCCAGCAGAAGCAGATTGTCGTCACGTGCAACTATGAAGCGTGCCGGCGCGGCTTGCGCAAGTTGCAACTGATCAAGGAGGCGAAGAAGGTGTGTCCGGACGTGGTAATCGTGCCGGGCGAGGATTTGACCAGGTTCCGCGATGCGAGCAAGGAGATCTATACGTTTCTGAAGGGGTATGTGTCGGGCTGGGGCGGGAGGGTTGAGAGGTTGGGCTTTGATGAGGTGGGTGCTCTCTTTTGTTTCACTTATTATTTATTTTATGTTACTTTTTTTTGCTTTTGGTTTTTAAAATGCTTCTGCCGTCAATTATCCCATTGAATATACCCTTCATTGTCGATCGATTAGCATTATTTATATTTTATCATCCGTCGAAAAATAAAATAGGTATTCTTGGACGTCACCTCTCTGGTGGACTACAACATCGAGCTTCTCAACTACAATGACCTATCCAGCTCCTTTTTCCATCTTGACAAGACAGACCCCACTCAGGGTTTTGCATACGATGCCCGCACAGTGTCGGGGCCTTCTTATCCTTCATCTCACCAATCCGATGATGGCTCAGCCCCCTATGCCACATCAGACCCTCAGACACATCCGTTCTCACCCAGTAGCAAAGACAATGCAAATAGCAACGCACTATGCCAACGCCTGATCCTTGGTTCGCATCTAGCGAGCTACATCCGCACCCAACTCGAGGAACACAAAGGTTACACAGCCACAGTGGGCATCTCCACCTCCAAGCTTCTAGCAAAGCTTGCGGGAAACGTCCACAAGCCGCGGAACCAGACGACTCTTCTGCCCCCGTATGATTCCACAGATGAGTGTGGCGCTTATGTTGACGACGACGACAACGACAACAACGACATCGACAACGACGTCGACATCGACAATGACAATGACAATGCTGACAAAGAACACGCCCATGCCCAACAAGGCACCATCACCCGTTTCCTCGACGCCCATGACTTCAGCGCAATCCCGGGCATCGGTTTCAAAATCGCCCAGAAGATCCGCGCGCACATTCTCGGCCGCCAGCCTACATCGGGCATGTACGAACAGCTCTCGAAAGAGGACCACGTCACCGTCAGGGATGTCCGGCTATATCCGGGCATGTGTCCGCGGATGCTGAATGAGATACTACTATCGCCGTCTTCCGGCGGCATCAGCAGTGGAAGTGTCAGCGGCAGGGCCGGGGCCGGCGGAACATGGCCTAGGGATATCGGAATGAAGGTCTGGGGATTACTTCATGGGATCGACCCGAGCCCCGTGGCGGAGGCTAGAGCCGTCCCCACGCAGATCAGCATTGAGGATTCGTATGGCGTTGGGAGGTTGGAGGGGTTAAATGTGGTGCGATTGGAGCTGGTGGCGCTGGTTCGGAGTCTTCTTAGGCGCATGCTTGTGGACTTGACTGAGGAGGTTGAAGAGGAAGAAGCACAAGGAGAAGAGGAGGCAGAAGCAAAAGAAGAGGAGGAGGAGGAGGAGGAGGATGCTGCTGAAAGGACAAAAACGACGAAGAGACGATGGCTTGCGCACCCGCGCACACTTCGGCTGTCGACACGCTCACGCCTTCCCCCGCTCACTGACGGGACGCGCGATTTTAGCGCGGGGCGGGTGTCGAGGTCCTGTCCTCTACCGGCATATGTGTTCGCTTCGCTGCTTAACATTGGCAATATTAGCCATCGTCCTCAGAATCATCAGACCCATGATGAGAGCGGTGGTGATGGCTATGGAAATGACAACAAAGCCGTTGATGGCAGGAGCTCTAGAGGAGGAGGAGGAGGAGGAACATGGGAATCAATAGACCCCCTAGCCAGCCGCCTCGTTAACGAAACCATTCTCCCGCTCTTTCGCAGACTGTATCCGGAAAAACCGGGCAGGGGAAAGATCTGCGTGATGAACGTTGCGGTGACGAACATGGTTCTGGTTGCGGGGGTGGATAAGGGGGGTGCAGGGAGGGATATTGGGAGGATGTTTCGGAGTCAGGGGAGAGTGTCGAGTGAGTGGAGGGTTGAGGGTTGGAAGGAGGCCAGAGAGGGTGCAGGGGATGATGCTGGGCCACGAGGAGAGGAAATGGTTGGTTCTACTGCCATGATTGGCGACGGTTGTGATGCTGGCAATGCGGCGTGGGATAGCGAAGGAGAGGAAGATGATATACTAGGTACTAACAACGGCGATATCATGATGATGACTGAATGTGTAACGTGCGGTGCGCAGATAGCTCATTTTGCCCTCCGAGCTCACGAGGTGTACCATTCTGTTTGTCCTTGAATTTATTTCCACTTGAAACTTTATTTCATTTATTCAATGACAAGGAGAAAACGGGCAGGTTATTGACTAGGTGTCTTTTTTTGGGTCCCAAGGCCGTTTAACGCCCACATTTCTTTGTTTTTTTGTTCCCTGTCTGCTACGGAGTCCAGAGATGAGATCGGGAGCGACGTTGAATAACACCATCAGCGTCAAGTTTTGTTTCTTTGTTCCTGAAAGCATGGCACAATTACCCGAATTTAATTAAGCTTCGAATATCTCTAATACTAGGGATATATTTTAAGATCTTGGTTGAACTATTCCCCAACAAGCCCCAGCGAGAGTTATCCCTAGGTTCAACGCTCCTTCTCTTACCAGAAAAAGCCGCGCTTTTGCGGAAATACCCCGCGATTTCACCAATACACGCAAGGCCCCGTAAAACATTATCGATGAATTAACTTTCCTATGTGGGCAAGGAAGCGTAATTGAAGAAAGGGGGGACGTTTGGTATAATGTATGTGGTGCATCCATTGAAGGCAAACGGTTGAGGGGAATAAGGGAGAAATTTTTTAAAAATCATACAAAGCTTGGGGGGGGGGGGGGGGGGGTGGATATAGAATGTTATGTAGATAGCGAGCTATCTACCTCCCTATCTACCAACCAACCTGCCTACTCAATATCAAATCGATCTCTATGAGAATAAACATCACCATCTAGCTACCCACGTACCTACCAATAGTAGCTTTCCAGCTCTTTGAAGGAATTTCATCTCCCGGGATTTATGTCCACCCCCAGAAAGTGGGGTGATGGGGTTTAGTATGCCCCCTAGTAGTTAGTGACAAAAATTTCTGGAAAGCATCCCATTAATAGAGTTAGTGGCTACGGAGTAGACATTTTATGTATTATTGAGTATATAGTTACAGCATACACAGTCCTGCCGCATCAATCCTTGGGTTCCGAGCTGTCACACTGAAGAATCCGAAACAGGACCCAACATAACGGCGAACTTGGCCTGTTTGAGCGTCCTGGGTGCAGGCTTAGGGCAGGCTTAGGAGACGTCATCGCAGTCTCCGATCGAGATTGGCAGACAAGAGAGAGTTAAACTCAGGCCCAATTAACTCGCGCAAGCCGCTCCGGAGTACCATGTATTCTGTACCCATCTCCCAGACCCCCGATGACGCTGGCTTGGTTCTTCTCCGGGCCTCAGATAAACCTTATCTGACACAAGGGAACAAGGCACAGTTTGTAAGAGAAGTTAAACATAGTTGTTAGTATCCTCTGGCGCTAATATGGAGGTTATTATTCCATCTCCAGAGGGCTGTTGGGACCCAGCTTCCAACCTTGCGTGTTTCAGCCGCAGCGGCTCTCCCGCTAATGCTTTGGGCAAAAACCGACTCCATCTCGTTTTTTTTTTCTCTTCCATCTTCCACCTCCCAATAAATATTCAATCTTCCTGGACAATGAGTCCCTGGCACTTCGTTTCCACCCGTTCTCGTTGAATTTCAAGAGCCATCTATCGCTGTCTTTCTACCTCCACCGGCAGATCGTACTTACTAGCACTGATTCCAAATAGCGTTGCACTCACCTGTCTCTGGCTCCACTTGATCCGACCAAGATCTCGATCTTCGCTGTCCGAGATTCCCTGACTGCGCCACGCTTGGAGGACTTAAATAACTCTAGCGTAGCCTGTACAAGCCACTCAAATTGATTCTGGGCTGCCGTTTCCATGGTCACTCTAGTCCCAATTCGACCAATAACTACTTTGCACAGTTCAGTTGTGCAAGGAGTTGCGACACCTGGTTGGGGCAGAATCACACTCCTAACCTGGCGCTGGCTGGTAGTTTTTTTATTCCCTTTCCCTTTTTGTCGGGGGGATCAGGTCGAGTAATAATAAATTGATAATTGAAGATAAATTAATCCATACGCAGTTGCTTGGGTGCCTCCCGGATGCTGACTGCCTGGGTTTCGCCTCACTCACCTCCTCCAGCAGCCTCCACTTCTTTTCGTGGTTGCCCCGCCCTACCTAGATACTGTACAGATTACTGCGCCTGTTTTTGGCCCTTGAGCCGCTTATCATCCCAGCCCATCTCCCTTTGACATCGAACTTTTTCAGCCGCTTGGAACAACGATCCATCACATATCAACATCAGTTTCATTCCACGTTTTCAGGGTTCTTCATATCTGTTGTTTTGGTCGACTGTCATATTTTTTTGTTATTTCGTATACTTTTTTCTTTCTTTTTTCTGGGTTTTGTCCTCGATCCAGGGTTGCTGAGAGAGCGGCTTTCTGACCATCTCTCCGCACGGCCCTTGAGTCGTAGCGCCCAACTTCTCTCGCTATGCGATTTTTCCGTGGCTTGGTTCCATTGATAACCAGTGCTCTCTCAATTTTTACTTCCAACGTTGATGGTAAGTCCCTTTTGTTCCCGCAGGATTTTGTGTTTTGGGAATAAAGTTACGATGCTGACGATGCATCCCCTGGCCAGCACATTCCGAAAGACGGAGTAACATCGGCTATCTTTCCCTCGTCGAACAACCTACTATCCATACTCCATCCCATCGAGTAAATGCACTGTCACATTTCGATATTACGTTCGAACTCCATAAGAGACGGCAGCGGCTAAAACTTAGCTTAGAGCCTAATCATGATATCCTTCCCGACGATGCCCAGGTGCACTTCCTGGACCAGGCTGGAAATATCCAGAAATCAGAATTCATAACGCGACAAGATCACAAGGTATTCAAAGGCTGGTCCTGGATTCAAGTTGCTGAAGGAAACTGGGAACGGGCCGGTTGGGCTCGTATAGTTGTCAAGGAAGATGGCCTCAACCCTCTTTTCGAAGGAACCTTTACCGTAAACCATGACCACCATCACGTTCTGCTAAGATCAAGTTATGCCAATTCAAAGCATGAACTCGACAAGGATGTGGACGACACCACCGGGGAATACATGATAGTCTTTCGGGATTCTGATATGGGGTTGATCGAAGATGATGATGTGACTAAACGGTCTTCTCCAGAGACCCATTCTTGCGGAGCTGATAATCTGCTGTTTAACTCGGATCCCGATCACCCCGTCTTTCGCCGAACTGCAGAGCGGGACACTACTTCTTTGGGGTACCATGTCGTTGGAATCCGTCTTCGGCTTGAGCCGACGACAATTGGACATGCCCAGGAGGTGGGGATGCTGGCGGGGTGAATTGGGCCACGACTATTCGGAAGCACTGCGGGCTGC